GCGGCGCTCGAGTACGTGCCCGCGATGGGCGGCGCGCTCGACGCGATGGTGCTGGTGGCCACGGAGGCGATCGAGGCGGGCAGCGAGGCTCGCTTCAAGCGCGGCCGCAGCTAGTCGCCAGCCCGTAGTTAACTGTGGGTGTGATTGTTACTCGAGGTCCGCTTCAACTACGACCGCAACCGCAAGGAGGGCAAGCGGTACTGGGGCCGCGGCGCGCCGGCCGAGACGGGTTGGCGGGAGGAGAGGGTGAGGCCGCCCGCGCCGGCGCCTGCCGAGCGGTTGTTTGGCAAGGCGGTCGGGGAGGCCACAAGCTGCGCCGGCATGCCAGGGACCCTTCTCGGACCTTTCTCGGACCCTTCTAGGCGGTCGAGGACTTGCCCACTTGGACTGACGACGCCGAGGCGAGCAAGCCCTTCCGGCAGCGGCTGCAGTCCGCGCCGTGCTGCGGCAGGCGCCTAGTAGGGTCCGAGAAGGGTCCGAGAAGGGTCCGAGAAGGGTCCGAGAAGGGTCCGAGAAGGGTCCGAGAAGGTTCGCCCGTGCTGCGGCAGGTACCTCTCGGCGGGCACTTACCGGCGAGGCGAGTGGTCCGCCGCCGCCGACGCGCGGCTCCGCAAGCTGCTGCAGATGCTGCACGGGACGCAGTGGCACGCGCGCTGCTCGTCGCGGCCAGGCGGCAAGGAGCGGTTCTGGGAGGTGGTCGCGACGCACTTTTACGGCCGCAGCCCGGCCGAGTGCCAGGGGCGGTGGCGCGCCATCGCACGCAGCGGCTAGAGCCGACAGCAGGGGCACGAAGAGCGCGGGAGGGGTGGGGTGGGGTGGGGTGGGGGGGCGGGGAGGGGTTTGCGACGGCGCGGCGAGCATTGCAACTTTGGAGGGGGAGGCGCCGGGGCCGCAGACACACTCAGCGGTGGGGGGTGGGTGGGTGGGCGGGGGTCAGAAGCCACGGCGCGCGCCTCGCCGATGGACAGTGGCGAGAGGTTCAGCATCCACACGGGTCCGTGAGAGAGGTAAGGGGAGGGGTCGACCTCACGATTGTGTTTGTGCCAGCTTCATGCGCGCGAGGGGAGGTGGGGAGAGTAGACGCGGTGCGCTTTCCATCGAGTTCAGATGCCATGTTCCGGATTTTCATTGAGTTTTCGACGACTGAGATCTGACTTCTGAGTCAGGCTATAATCTATAATCGGAAATCGCCTGAGTCAGGCTAAAGGGTGTGGATGATGGGTACGGAAATCGGAATTTATAAAATGAACTCGGGGGCACGGGACGCGGCACAAACGGGGCACAAACGCCAGGCTACAAAGATGGGGAGGCACGTAGTGACGCAGAGGCGACGGCGGCGTCCTCCGGAGGACGCGACCCACTTCGCCACAGACGGTCCCGCGCCTCGCCGCAAAGACGGCGGCACGCCCCGCACCGTCCGCTGTGCCGCGTGTTTTGTCCGGAGTGAAAAGTCCAACGCGCTCGTCGGTGGCGGCTTCCCTATGATGTAACTTATTCGGACCCCCCCCCCTGGGGCATCGTCTTTTCGTGGCAAACGAGCCGATCTCAGCCCGCCGATCTCCGCTCGCGCCGGCCGCCCATGCGCTCGCGGGGCTGGCCGACGGCGCTGGCCTCTTGCCGATGGACCCAGCCGAGGTGCCCGACCAGTCGGAGTGGCGCTGACGCGCCGCGCGCGACCACCAGCCAGCTTTCCGGCCTGGCCGAGAACGGTGCCTCGAGAATGTAGACACTCCAAACAGTTGTCGAGTTTTTTCCCTCTTTTTGAGCGCCGCTGCTGCACACCCAGCCCACCAGTGATACTAGACGCACCAGATTCACCCCGTCGCGAGCTTGACCGCGACCCCGATGACCGCCCACAGGTGGCTGATCGCGGCTCCACTCATCGCTGCTTTCGCGCGCCTGCTCCACAGAGGGCTCCTGCGGCTCTCCCTCGTCGCGTGACCGCCGCCGACATCATGTGCTTGGTCGTCCCCGCCGGCGCGGAGCTGCGCCACGTCGAATTCTTCGGTGGCTCGACCGCCGGCGCGCCCACCCTCGCCTCCTGCGCGCCTCACACACCCAGTATTCACCTCGCGCGCGGCCGAGGGGAGGACTGGCAAATCCTTGATGGGCAGCACGACGATGTCTTTCAGCTTGCGACCCATCGTGAGGAAGACAAAGATCTCCATAATACACCTTTTCACAGCAGCTAGAGGCGGTGAAGAGGCGCCATGGGCAAGGCGACGCCAGGAGTCAGGGCGCAGCGCGCCACAGCCGCTTGCTGTAGGTATTGCCTTCGAGGATGATGAGCTTCCGGCAGCCAAATACGTAGACTGGCAGCCCCACTAGCGAGGCTTTCACGTCCTGCTGGTCGATGCACGCCTTATCGAGCCACAGCAACGGCTCGCGCTTTTCTCTCTGCACGAACCTGCGGCTCGAGCGGGACTGGGATCAGGGTCTCGGGGTGTGTGTGGGGGGGGGGGGGGGGGGATTGGTGGGGGGGAAAAGTGTGCCTGTGCGCCCAGAGGCGCAGCGCCGCGTACTTTTGCACGCCATTATCGCTCCACGAGTGGCTGACAAATGCGTCAACTTCGCCCAGCGTTACCGGCCGCGTCGCCTGCCAGAGCTCCGCCGCCTCATGCTCGGTCGCCAGGGAGCAGCACAAATGCCTTCCTTGAGCTTAGAAAACGGCAGGGCGCGCAGACGGCTCGCGGCGCGCCGCACGGATTCCTCTGTTCGCCCCCTCCCTGGCTGATCAAAGCGGCCACAGCGACGGTCGCACGCATTCGTACCGGAAGGCCGCAGCCATCGAGCGCTCGGTAGAGACGGCCACGGTTGGCTGCGGACATCGCCAATGCTATGCAGCTTGCTAACACTACGGCCAAGCCGAACCGAATATGCACGAGGAGGAGGACGCGGAAAGGAGACTTGAGGTTGTCGTCCAAAATCCAATCTTGGTCCCAAACGACAATGAGCACGTCCCAAAGGACCACGAGTACGCTTAGAACCGCTCCAGCGCAAAAGCTCAGACGGACCGTCTTCCATGCGGCGCGAATGGCTGAGCGGGTTGGCATGGTGAGCAGTTGCGCGAACCGGCATGCGGTGCAGACTGGGAGGAGGACGAGCAAGGGGTGGATAGTCACGGCGTAGTAGAAGCGCAACCGCCTGGAGGGGATGGGATTGTTGCGCGTGATTAATGTGCAGAGGTGATCGCGAGAGCGAGCTCGAGCGCCTCGATCTGCTCGTCCTTGGCATAGTTCTCTCGCGATGTCTCTCGGCGATTTGCAGCCTTGCGCTGCCCTCCGACCTTCGTGGCCGCGTAGTTTGTCGTCACCAGCCCCGTCGCGACCACCAGAATCTCGGTGACGAACTCCGACAGGAAGCTCCACTCGCGCGCGTCTGCGACGCCGTTAGTCCACTCAAGGAGGAAGTTGATCATCGCCGTAAACAGGTTCCCATCAGGGCCGCCGTAAAAGTCCATCACGGACTTGAGAAGGACCAGCACGCCGCCCGCTACGGCGAGGATTATCAGCAGGGTGTTGGCCCTTGCTGCTGCGGCCTGCCCACTGAGCAGCACGCGCACTTGCAGCAGCAGTGCAGCGAGCAGCACCACAAAGGTCATGATCGAGAGAAAGATGGCGACGGAGAAGTTTAGCTCGCCCGACTGCGGAAGCGGCGGGGCGGCGCCGTCGCAAGTCGTCTGGAAGAACACGTCCGACGCGACGTCGTGGCAGATGTCCTTGATGTCAGACGCAAGCACGCACGTCTCACGCTCGGGCGTGCACGTGCCGGATTCGTTCTTCGCCCCCGCTGCCAGGCCGGCTGCGCCCGCCTCCGCCTCGGGGGCCGGTGTCGGAGATGTCGTCACGGCGCCCCCCTCCCGTGCTCGGGCGAGCACCAAGCCGAACGCCGCCAACATGCGCTTTTTGGACGCCGTAAGTGGCGGAGTCTGAATTCTTTTTCTTCGCACCTCAACCTCTCAAACCAGAGCGCCGTCGGACGTATTTACTAACAATAACAAGGCTGTGAACATAGGAGGTATTTTCTTCTCAATAACAAGGCTGTGAATGAGCTTGCGGTGGTGCGCCGCCCGTGCAGATACATGCCGCCCTTCACCTAGCAGCACCACGCTCCCGCAGCACTGTGGGCGCCATCTCAGCAGCCGTCTTTGGTGCACAGGACAACGTGCTTTCAACGTCACGCCAAAGGTAGCCGAGGCAGCGACCATGCTCTTCAGGCACGGCCTCATGCTGTCGCTCGTACTTCCAGCACACGCACATTCCTCTGGCATCGCGGTGCGCCATCCTTGCGCGCGCAAGCGCCAACACGAGGCGTTCCTACAGCATGCGCCTGTTGTCACAGGCGAACGTGCTGGCCTTGCCGCGACCGGACGAAGCTCCGACGCCGACCAACGAAGCGCTCACCGTGCAGCTGCTGGGGGCGCACGCGGAGGCGCGCGAGGCGCAGGCCAAGGCGAACGAGGAGCTCGCCACCGCGTACGCACGCGCCGAGGAGGCGCTCGCCGACGCCAGGCAGGCGCGGACTGAGGCGGCCGAGGCGGTCGAGGCGCAAGCAGCGCTGCAGGCGTCTGTGAGAGCGCTGGAGGAGCGGGTCGCGACGCAGAGCGAGGAGATCGAGACGCGCGAGGAGGCGCTGGCGACGCTCGAGACCGCCTTCTCCGAGCGGGAGGCGGAGACGGCGCACTTCGCCCCCCGCCGCCCGCGCCTCCTCCCACCAGGTCTCCGCAGTGCGCGCCTGACGCCGGTGCCTCGCCGACACACAGGCGCGGCTGCAGCAGGAGATGGCTGCGACCGAGGCGGAGCTCGACGCCGCCTCCTCCAAGCAGCCGGGGCAAGACTCCGCCTCGTGCGCCGACGCGCCGCCCCCAGACCGCCGGCTCGAGGATCTCGCGGCGGCGCTCGCCGCTGTAGAGGCAGCGCTGACATCCTCGGAAGGAGCGAGGGCGGAGGCGGAGGCGGCGCGGGCGGAGGCGGAGGCGGCGAGGGACGCGGCGGCCGGGGAGGCGGCCGGGGAGGCGGCGGCGGCGGCGGCGGCGGCGGCGGCGGCGGCGGCGGCGGCGCGCGAACCGGCGGCCGAAGACAGGGCGGAGAGGAGGACGGCCGAGGGGCAGGAGGGGGGGGACCCCTCTTGGGGTTGGGTGCACGAGACGCGCGTGGGTGGCCGCATGTAGGAGGGCCGAGGCGCTGCAGGAGGAGCTGGCGGCGTCGGAGCGGCGGCTGGCGGAGCTCGAGGGGGAGATGCGCCGGGTGGCGGAGGCGAGATGTAGCCGAGATGCAGCCGAGGTGTAGCCGAGATACAGGCGGAGGCGAGATACTGCCGCGGCGGAGGCCATGTCCATGACACGTTCGGGGCACGTCCCGCAGGCGCACCGCGCCGCGGCGGAGGCGGCGGAGGCGCGGCGGCTAGTGGGCGGGTGACCCGAGGCGGAAGCATGGCACGTCCACGACGCGTCCATGGATGCGTCTTCGGTAGGCGCGGCGGGTGGCGGAGGCGGGTCCAGGGCAGGCCGGTGCGCGGCGAGGTGAGCCGAGAGGCGCCGATACTAGGCGCGGCGGGTCGCGGACGTGGCAAGGGCGGCCGAGGCGGCGGCGGCGCAGGGGTCGGCGCAGCTGGCGGCGCAGGCGAGGGGCCTCGCCACCACACCTCTCTGCACCGCTTCCTCGTCCTTATTTATGTAGCCCGGGT